TTTTTTCTTTTCCTTCTTTTGAAAAATAAATCTATAAATGTCTTAATTTCCTTCTAATTTTTATACTTGCTTTCTTTTTATTTAAATCTGCACTTAAAACACATATAATTTGATGATCCTTCTGTTAGAAGAATGATTTTTTTCTATAAAAAAGTAATAATAATATTTCCTTTAGAAAATATTTCTGAAAGGATCAAATTGAGACTTTATGATAGTATGTCATGCTATGCTTAAATCATGTTTATATCCAAAGCGGTTTGAATTCGCGCTCCGCTTACCTCCTTTCAATTTAACTTTTATCACCCTGAGATGTGTAACAGAGAATTTTTTTGGATAATGATTAATAATCAGAACCTAATATACATTGGAAATTTACCTTTTATGCTTGATTAGAATTGTCACTTTAGATTGTCATTTTATCTCCTGCTATTAAGTTAAATATTTCTTCACTAAATATTTTTATGGCTCCCATTTTATCAATTATGATAAAGGGCATAGAAAAAGGTTATAAAATCTGTTATCTGTATAAATATGCATGGCACTGGAGATGCTCAGTGCAGTAGGGAATTTAAGTGGGGTGTTTTATGAATACTAAGTACTCTCACCTAGATGTGAAGACAGTTCAACCCAGTTACTGTAAATCATCACTGAAAAGCGAATAAAAACAGACCTCACTTTAAATCTCAGCTTTGAGACTTTGTAACCCTGAGAAATTTTCTCAATCATGAAATGAGGTCATATCATATAAAACTTTTTCAAATTGTCAAATTTACAAATGCTGCATAACATCTTATACTATTATCATGCCAAAGGGGCACAACTTGTGTATAATATCAAAACTAAAAAAACTATGTGAGTATCCTGTTAAAGAATATTTACCAAATTTTGAGATCTAGTTTAGCATATCTCTTAAAGCCAAAAATTTTTCATATTTAATTTGAAGCTTCATTTTCCTAAATCAGCTACATTGGGAATCTTAGCCTTCAAAAAACACATCTCCAGTTCTGCTCCTAGAGAACAGAAGCAAAGTAATCAGCAATTTTTGCTATATGTAGCAAGGACTTGTTATTTAGTTTTAATCCTACAATAGGCAAAAGCTGATTCTTGACTTTGGAAGAAACACCTGCCAATTGCCCTGCTCCCTGATACCGTTACAGGGCAGGGAGAGAGGGACACCCCTGAACCCCCCAACCTGCCTGCTCTAAATAGGTTCTGCCATCCACCACATCAAGACAAGACATAAGAGCTTTAATGGAAAGGAACTTTAATACAATGAGTATCCTATACAGGAAAGACAAAAAATATAATTTCTAAATCAAACACCCAAAGTTACCAGACCCCTCATGGGTATTAGTCCACACAAAAGGGACTAGCAAGGCCTGAAAGCTGCCACAAGACTAAAGCATCTTCTGGCCAGGACCCATAGAAAAGGGTCAGAAATGGCCAGACAAGTCTGGGAGGAAAAGAGTACAATCAAAATCAATATAAACACGGCCATAGTCACCTCCCCACGGGTCTCTCACCCACATCTATTTTAACCAGCACAGGGTCAAGAAACAAACACGGTTTCTTCATCACATGCTCCTTCTGGTTCTCCATCCTGCTTCCTTACTGTTCAGATTCCTTCTCTTCTCAGCTACACACTCCCCCTGGGTGGGGCAGGGAACCTGGAACTTCCCCTTTTCCTGGGGACCACTCTGTTACAATGCTAGGGAGTAGTGGACCTTCACCTAGACACTGAGTGACAGCTGACAGGGACTAGGGTGCTTCTCTACTGCCTCTGTGCTTTGCCAGAGTCCATCTGGCCTTCAGAACCCAAAGGATGTTCTTTCAGAACTTGCTTCAAATAAATTGGCGGGAAGGACAGAAAAGCATTTTCTCCCTTGGCTGATCTTGCAATATCTTAAAGGATTAGTGTGATTAAAGCTAGATTTTTTAATCTTGCCATCTCCCTTGAATTACGTTCCTCCATTATTTATGTCTAGTTATTATGCAAATGTGAGTTTCAGTGTGTGAGCCATGAATTCCCACCAGCTGCTTGCCATGAGGTTAATCCTGGCTGTCCACAAAAATTACTGACCACATGGAACATCCCTCACAATAGCCCACCCTTCTCTCATAATCCCCATTTCTCCCTCTGGAAAGACAAATTTCTTTCTTTTTTTATTCTTGTTTGTTCTTTACAGTATTGTTTATTATCCCGCTATGGCTTTCGTGAAGTGTTTGCTTTCTCAGTGGATATGATGAACCAGCGGAAGTGGTCTTGCTCTCCAGCCCGTTTCCCTGAGCCCCTTCTCCTGATTTGGCCTAGCAGGACTGATGGCCCCTAAACCTGCTCATTTTGTCTCAATCTTGTTCAAGCTTGAACTCTAGAAATTCCACTTACGGAGATTACTTCCAGGATATCCAGGAGGAAATAGAGTGTTGCTATCTACCCTCAGCATAAATAATATATTTCTAACATTCCAAAGTGATGCCTTCCTGGGCAGGGGGGAAGTGTGGTTAAGGTGACACATACTAAATTTCATATAAATGGAGCTTGTTACAGAAAGAGCTGAACACTTTTCCGAAGAAGACATACAAATAGGCATGTGAAAAACTGCTCTACATTATTTATCAGCAGAAATACAAATCAAAACTACAATGAGATGCTTTTTTGAGAATGGGCCATATCAAAAAGACCAGAAACAAGTGTTGGCAAGGAGTAGGGAAAAAAAGGAAAACACTGTTGGGAATGTAGAATGGTCCAGACTCTTTGGAAAAAGTGTAGTTGTAGACACTCCCAAGTGGCACAGCAGGTGAAAGCACAGCACTAAGAGGTTAAAGCCACATCAGCATGAGTTCGATCCTGGCCCCAGAGGTGAGCCACATGGCGGCAGACCTCTCCTGACCACCCGCTGCTCCCCTCAGCAGTGTATTTCATAGGTCGGCCTGTTCTGCTCCCCGTTCTGTCTCTGGCAAATTCTTTCACCCACCCTGCACCTCTGGCCTGTACCCAGTTCTATAGGAACCAATATAAATAAAACTTAAAAAAAAAAACATGTAGATGTTTCCCAAAATATTAAAAATTCATCTATCATATGATCCAGCAATCTCACTTCTAGATAGTGAGGGTAAATACTGGCAATCCTCCACATCACATCCCTTACACCCCTTCTGTCCGTATCTTCCCATCTATTGTTTGTATTTAGCAAAGTCCCTTCAAAGTCAAGCTTAAATGTCACATAAAATTACTCTAATAGTAAAAGTCATCTTTTCTGATGTTGTTTTAAATTGGATCTCAAAATGTAAGTTTAAAAATCTTCAAGAAGAGCACTGATACTGTCATTCAACCTGAACATGCATTAAGAAAGAAATAATATCTTGATAGTCTTCCCTTAAAAATAATGGTCACATTCCATAATCCTTGATAAGTCCTATCTTTTAAAACTCAAGTCAAATTATTGCTAAGTTTCTTTGAAAGGAAAAATCATAGCTGTATTATGAAACAAAACATCTACATTAAGTGGTATCAGTTGATTATCATTCTGAAGCCTAAATACTTGAGGAATGAGCATAATTCATTACAACTAGAAAAATGTTGGGTTCTTTAGCTATTTCTAATACTTCTGATGGTAACATTGTACAAGAAGGTAGTGAAATTATGTCACGTTAGGATTTCCACCTGTTTGCCAATAGCTTATTAGAGATTTGCTCTAACTTCTGCTGACCTAAGAACTTCATTCCAAAACAATAGAATAAAAGTCAAATGTCACAGCTCACTCATTGCATTGTCTAAAAGACATTTATATTTGAAAATAGCATGTTCCCTAGGAAAACATGACTTTAAAGAAAAAGTTCAAAGCTATTCCCTAAAATTTTGTTCACAATTATTTCAAATTAGAATGGCACAGATGTTGGTAATGTTTCTAAATAAAGCGGTGTATTTTAAACTCTAGCAAAAGCCACACTTAATAATTAAAGTCACCAATATTAGCAAGTAGGCAAGTAACCAGTACATATCAGGAAAATGCCAGATGTCCTAAGGTATGTGGGCCGAGTAGGGAGGGTTACATCTTACATGTATAGATCAACCAGGTTAAGACAAGATAACTTTGTTGAATGTCCACCAATCAATGCACTGCTGAGCAAAACTCTGCTGGGCTGAAACTCCCCTCTTTTGTAATAAAAGCCCTGCCTTCCTTGAACTCAGGGCTCTGTACTTTGGCTGCTGCGTCGCTGCATGCTGCATGCTCGGCTGCTCGAGCTTGCAGTAAAGACCCTTGTGTGCTTTGCATTGGAATCGGCTCCTTGGTGGTCTTTGGGAAACTCGAAACCTGGCACAACAGCTTCCTTCCCATTTTTAAATTGAATGAGGAGAGCTAAGGCTCCCAGGACAGGAAGCCATTGCTTCTAAAGAGGCACTTAAGTACATTTTGGACCTCTATGGTTAGATACTGCACAGAGATCTGTGTGTGCAACACCTAAGACTGAGAAGAAGAGCTTGTATCTAGGCAAGTGGAGGGGTGTGAGAAAGGGCCTCCCGGGGCTCACTGGAGCCAGTGCTTCAGGATGACTGTTGGATTTTTGTTTTTATTTGTAAGGGAGAAACTGACACATGACTAAATTGGTCTACAGCTGTTGTAAGTCAAAGCAGAACAAGGAAGTTTAAAGACATAAAACTGACCAGAAGGCAAGACATACTTTCAGATTGTTTTGTGACTTTTTTACATGGCCCAGAAATGTTTATGCCCACATTTAGGAACTTTGTGCATTGCAGGGCATAAGCCACATGCACTTCCAGAAAATGTGCATAAGCGGTGAGCCTGCAAGTTAATAGTCACAAGTAACCACTCACAAAAAAAAAGGGTCTCTCAGGTGAACGGACTTCAGTGTTTCATAAGGCAGTAACACCAGTGATGTCCACCCTCGGTGTGCATGGAAAGTGTGCACCTGGGTTATTCTCTGAAAGCAGACTTCTAATCACTGGGTGAGGAAAAGAACACACACTATGGCATTTGTAAAGTCAATAAACAATATTTTACTGAAACATTTCATAACACAGAAAATCTGTCTGAAGTGTAAAGTTACCGTCTCACACAAGAAGGACAGACACATTTTCAAAGACTACTATGAATACAATAAATATGGAGTTTACATACTAATTTATACACAGAAACTCTGCCCCACAGCCATAAAAATTTATATTTAACAGTGCAACATATAATTTAATCATTTGATTTATTTGACAGGTTTTCTTACTAACACAAATAACTACCTGGTTTTCATATACATATATAATATATATCTTATGTATATAGATATTCAACAATCTGTACAGTTTCTAAACATAAAACTCCTAAAAGGCACAATTGTCTATACAACATGTACAAAAATGGCTGGAGCTGACACAAAACAACAATTATTGGTCAAAAGTTCATGATTGCACAGAGATTAGTCATGAGTTTATGTCAGAAAAATGTGCTTTAAGGAAAGGAGGGTTTTCAAAGAAACCTCTAAGTGTTAAAAAAAACCTCGAAACAATAAAAAACCACTAGGTTGCTATCACAAGCCTGTCCTCGTCATCGTCACTGCTCACGTCACTGAACTGCGCAGTGGCCTGCCGCCGGCGTAGTGCTGCAGGCCTGGGCAACTGTCTGTCCGGGGAGAGAGTCCGCTGTCCTGCTGGCTCTGGGCAAGCTTCAGGCTGTGCCTTCCGCAGAGATGCTGATGGGGACCTGGGTTTGCTTTGCCCGGAAGTGAGTTCATGCTTGGGCTTCACGTGATTTTCTGAGGCAGGCTTCCCTGTGTCCATCTTATTTGAACTATCCAGCATTAGATGGTCTCTTGAAGGCGCAGGTGGGTCTAGAACATTTTTTGCATTTTCCCGCTGGACTTGAGGTGACCCCTGAGGAGACGCAGTCCTGCTGCCCTGATGTGCACTGCCTAGGGAAGTCTGCTTGGCTGGCGTCTCGCGTGCTCTGTTGTGGGAAACTGGTATTTCAGTAGCTCCCTGTGTGTCCACAGTTACTTGGCTAACTGAGGGGATTAAAGTAGGCAATGCTATGTTCAAGATCTGGAGGCCTGGAATGTGTGCCTGAGGGGTGGGATTGCTTTGTGAGGAGGGGTTTGCAGCCAGAACCTGCAGTCCGACAGCATTTACAGCCAACCCGGGGGGGTGTACCTGTGGGGCAATATTTGTATTGGCCAGGCCTAAAATATTGACGGTCTCCATGCTCAATGAAGGAAGTGACTGCAAGCTGGGTGTACTTAGGTTCTGCAGGTCTGGTACGCGGATTTGGCCAATCGGAATACATGGCACAACACTGCTTAATTCAGCCACTCCACTGGGATTTGTAGCGCCAGAAACGTCTGTGAAGGTATCTCCGGGAGTGCCCACAGTTCTGTGAATTACATTGACGGCAGGAATTGTAAGTTGCATTGGGCCACCTTGAATGGGCACGAAGGTGGAGTATGTGAGGCCTGCAGGGACCACATGGATTCCCCCGACTGGAACCATATTGTAAGGTGTCCTTGATGGCTGCTGGGAATGCAAAGGGAGGTGGCTAAACAAATGAGTCTGGGGAGAAGGCAGTCCTGGAGTTGGTTGGAGAGTTATTTGCTGCTTTTGTTCTTGAGAGTCAGGCTGGGGCAAGACCATGGAAGGAATACCCACTGCTTTCTGAGGACTGTGTTCAGTTATAGGAGGAGGAAGTTTTACAGATGAGGAGTTCTAGAAGACAAGAGAGAATAAATTTTATAGCAAAGCTTTCTTTGTCACCAGCTAAAGTGCTGAGTAAAATCTATTATGAATGAAAGAATGTATAAGAATCACAAGCTAAAAAAATTATATTTTGACTTTTAAAAATTAGTTCCAAGGCCGTCCCCGGTGCCACAATGGGTTAAAAGAGCATTGTGAAGCTGTCCTCAGTCACTGCAGCATTTCGAGTGTTGATCCCCTGCCAGAGGTGCCCCGTATGGCCAGCACACCTCTCCTGTCTCCCCTGCTGCTAGATCCGCAGGTTCTGCTCCCCACTCTGTCTCCGGTGAACCCTCTCACCTTCTGCACCTCTGGCCTGTACCCCAGTTCTTATGTACATAAATAAATATTTTAAAAAATGAATTCCAATTAAAACAACTTTTACTTTTTATCTCTATTTTCTAGGAGAAAGTAATGGTAACACATTGTTGGCTTGATAACACGGGAAAGCAAGCTGGGGGTTGTTATTTATGAAATAAAGAACTGTTATTAATAAAAGGTCTGCAGTTTTTCATTGGTTTGGCCATGCATTTATTCATACATTCTTCTGAAAACCAGATTTCAGGCATTGGTGGGTATGTGAGATTTTGGGCTAGAAAAGCTTATATATAGCACAGGTGACCAATGTAAAAGCAATGAGAAATGCTGTCAGAAGTAGAAAATCTTACTACTCCTCTCTTTATCATCTAAATATTAGCTTTTACTTGACAATCACTATATTATAATCACATTAATCTATATTCTAGATACATTTACCTATTAACAAAGCTTATCAATTTAATTTAATTAATTTACGATAATCTTTGAAAATCCAAGCTTTCCTAGTCTTCTAAATTTTTCTTCAGTGTTAGCTGGCAAGCCAAAATCTGCCTCATTTAGAAGAAACTGAACTGTGAGCAAGAGAAGAAATGAATTTCTCACTGAATTAAACATTCCTCAGAAGCCCGCTAGGGCTAAAAGCAGGGAATCATTCACAGCATACTTAGGGTGACTTTTGTGAGGCCCTGACTGCCCTGAGCTAGTTCACAAGCTGTTTTCCTAAGCTGCCATAACAATTTGATCATATTTGATCATTCAAGTAGAGTGAATTCCTTTTTGTTTCTATCTTTTTTAAAAGATTTATTTATGCATACAAAAACTGGGATACAAGCCAGAGGTATGGGGGATGAGAAGATTCACCAGAGACAGAGTGGGGAGCAGAGGGTGGGTCAGGAGAGGTCTGCTCTGCCATGTGGATCACCTCCCTGGCTGGGATTAAACTTGGTGCCGCAGTGGCTTCAGATAGCTTCACTTTAGCCCAATGCACCATCAGGGAGGGCCCAGCATGAATTACTTGATACCTTTTTAGGTCATATTATCTTTGCTATAGAAAGCAGCTGTTTCCCCATAAAGGCAAACTACAAAATGTTGAGATCATTCTGGTGCAACTCCATAGAAAAATTAACTAATAGGTTCCACCATGTTCTTAATTGGCACACACATATTTTACTTTAAGAAGAATAAAAAAAGCAAATAATAAAAATGGGTATACTTTCCAAGGTTCATTCACAGATTTACAATACAATGAACTCTGATTAAATTACTTTGCAGATAAATGGCCCTTGTCTTTAAATAAAGCAGAAAAGTGAAATAAACTGATTTAGTCCTAATAATGACTCATTTAACATCATTTTTAAGTTACCAGTTACCTGTATGTAATATGTAATTCATAGGAAAACAATAGCAACCTATTTACCTGTGTTAAGGCAATAGCCTTTCTTGCCACAGAACTTCTCAGAATTTCTTCTGACTCAGAGTAGTCTACTGACATTTGATGACATGGAGATCTGGGTGCAGCTTCAGGTGACCTCGAAGAGTCTACAGCAGTTGCTTCATTGTCTTCATTTTTTGTAGGATGCTGCCCGCTCTTCACTGGGGAGTCTACCTTCTGACCGTAGTCTGACTGAACTGTGCTTAGCACGGTCATCTTGGTGGGCAATGCTCTAGGCAGAACATCCATTGGGTCTGCATGCACCCCAGAAAAGCAACCAGGAATTCTGATGTCCTCATCAGTGCTCCCCGGGTCATGAAGGCTACTTCTAGAGGGAAGGTGTTGAGGGCTGGCCGTGACAGAGGGAGCTGCTGACAGGATTGATTCCGCCTGGCTGTCTTCGTCATCATCTTCATTTTCATTATCATCCTCATCTGGGCCATCGGATTCTTCAAGATCATATCCAGACTTCTCAAAAATGCATCTTTGTTTTTCATCTAAATAAAAACAAGAGGGTATGTTACAGAATACTTTGCAATGTAGGAAATGCAGTCTTATTTGTTATAAGCTCGGCAACCCTGTGAAGGATATAAAAGATAAGCACTCTACTCACAAAAAGCCTAGCATTTAGTTATTTGGGGGAAGAACTAGCTAGCCAGCTCAAGAGGAATTCCGAGAATTGAGGCATGAACAGAGAGGCTGTGTTAAGGATGCAGAACATGGAATGAGCCTTGAAAGGTAGGCAGGCTGTGGGTAACATGTGGAGAAAATCAAACAAATAATCTCAAATAGATTTATAAAATCTCAGCTGAAGACTGGACTATATTTTAAAAAATCTAACACCAAGAGTCTCTGGATATCTATTTCTTTGTACCTCTCTGTTGAATGAATTAAAATGAACAAAACACTAATGGCCTTTTGTAATTATAAACAAAATAATTTAATACTTAGTACTTTAGACATGTTTCCATTGTACTCTGAGTAGTAATATCCTGATATTTAAACCTCCTATTTTCTTTTAAACTAAGATAGCTGCTAAATTCCCTATCACTTTTTTTTTCTGTGATGACTCATAGGAAGGGGAACATTAAACTAAATTATTCATATCATCTCATAATGTCATGTGAGAGTATATTTAACAAAGAATATCCAAGATAGTCTTGAAAACAGGTTCACATACTTTCAGAAGGTCATGTGGAACTAAGCTTAAAACCTTATCTTATTCCAAAGCTTGCAAAATTAGTGGCACTTTCCCTTAAAAAGCTAATGAACTTTTCAAAGTTAGATGGGGGAAGGATATAATTCTTCACCATAATTCTTTATCACAGGGCTGTAATAAAAACCATGTTCAGCTTAGCTATGATACACTTTCCATTTCCTTTTTTTTTTGAGCACAAGAGAGAAATAAAAGAAAATAGCAAAGTAATAGTTATATTTCCTGGCTTTCCCAAATGGTCTCTATTAATTAATTTTACTTTCCTTCCTTTATTACAGTGGTAAGTTCTTAGAGTAAATCCTGCAAGAACTGACACCAAGATCATTTCTAAGGGATCTTTACACTGCTTATCTCCAGCATGTTCATAATCTAAATATCCAAAGATAAAACACACACATTTAGGTTCTTTAAAAATGTGTTTTCATAAGCTTTTTAAGGGACCTACTATTTTGCTGTAAAACTAATAAAGAGAAAAAACCACCTGGTTGAATCCCATGCTAGAGACAGAGCAGGTAATTTCTGAGTAAACACCCTAACTCCTGCCTCACAATTCCTCTCCTCTACCCTGCCCTACCTACCACCTTTTCCTATCCACTCCAATGTCTGAAATAAAGTGACAAGCCATCCCCGATTTGTTTTGAATTTGACACTTTCATTCCAAATCATATCTAAAAGGGAATAAACAAGAGAAAGACAAGACTAGCAGCTAGTTCTACCACAATGGCGAGGGGAGGGACAGGAGCACCAAGAGGATCATAGGACAGAAAGCTAAGAGCAAGTGTGTGGGGAAGGCTGCTGCTGAACCAGAACAGAGACAGAATGCCACCTCTCCCGACAACTGGCTCTAAGAGAGGGAGAAGTCAAAAGCAAAGATAAGTGCCCCTCTCAGAAGCACAGTATAAAGGGATGACTGAAAATGTAGAATTGAACAGGCATTACTCTTCTCACTGAACACCCACCCAAACAATTTTTTTTTAAAGATTTGTTTGTGCAGACAGAACTGGAGTACAGGCCAGAGGCTCAGGGACAGTGAGAGGCTTTACCAGAGACAGAGTGGGGAACAGAACAGGCAGATCGACAAAATACACTGCTGAGGGGAGCAGCTGGTGGGTCAGGAGAGGTCTGCTGCGCCATGTGGTCACCTCCGGGGCAGGTGGGAATCGAACTCATGCAGAAGTGGCTTTAGCTTCTCAGTGCTGTGCTTTAGCCCGCTGCGCCACCAGGGAGAGCCACCAAACACAATTTTAAAAAAAGATTTATTTATTTATGCACACAGAACTGGGGTATAGGCCAGAGGCACAGGCCTGGCGAGAGGATTCACCAGAGAAAGAGTGGGGAGCAGAACAGGCATATCAACGAAGTACCCTGCTGAGGGGAGCAGCAGGTGAGGCAGGGGAGGTCTGCCACACCATATGGATCACCTCCGGGCCTGGGATTGAACTTGCACTGAAACAGCTGTGGCTGGCTTACTGTGTTGCACTTTAACCCACTGCAACACCAGGGAGAGCCTCCAAACACAATTTTTATGTAAGAAATTGAAATTGGGCCCTCCCTGGTGGCACAAGGGGTTAAAGAGCAGCACTATGAAGCTGTCCAAAGCCACTGAAGCAGAAGTTGGGGTCTCAGCCAGGAAGCTGACCCATATGGCACAGCAGACCCCTCCTGTATCGCTGTTGCTCCCCTCAGCAGTGTATTCAATACTTTTGCTTGTTTGGCTCCCCACTATCTCTCTGGTGAATCCTCTCACTTCTGCACCTCTGGCCTGTAGCCCAGCTGTTTATGTATTCATAAATAAATAAATCTTTTTTTTTTTTTAAGGGCTTTCCCTAGTGGAGCAATGGGTTAAAAGCACTGCATTATGAAGCTCTCCAATGCCACTGCAGCTTGAGTTCGATCCCAGCCAGGGAGCTGACCCACATGGCGTAGCAGACCTCTTCTGACCTGTCCTCAGCTACCTTCAGCAGTGTACTTTGTCAATCTGCCTGTTCTGCTCCCCACTCTGTCTCTGGTAAATCTCTCACCCACCATACCTCTGGCCTGTACCCCAGTTCTGTAAGCATAAATAAATAAATCTTAAAAATAAAGAAAAGCAAAGTTTCTGAGGCACTGAGGGTAGCCATAGCCAGCCACAAATCTCACACATAGTCACACACACTCTAGCTAGAAATCTTTTAACTTTCACACTAAAGACATAGAAGAAGGCACACCCATCAACAGGCTTACAAACTGTTCACATTAGTCTTTGCTGTCTTAAAGAAGATGTTCACCTTTCAACAAAAATTACAAGACATACAAAATGGCAAGAATGAAAATGCTCAGCAGAGAAAAAACAGCCAGAACAAGTTACAGCAGGGAATTTAAAATTATAATTAATATTTTGTTTAAAGTTCTGAGAAAGGTGGACAGTGGACAACATACAGCATCCAATGAGAATTCTAGATAACAGATGGAAACTATAAAAAAATAAGTAAACAATATGCTGAGTGCAAAACATCTTAATGACAAAAAGAAAACTCTCAGACCTAAAATTCTATGCCCACTTAAATTAATTTTCAAAGATGAGAGAAATAGACTTTCTTAAGAAAAAAAACAAAAATTAATTTATTGTTAATAAATATTCAAGAAGCTCTTTAGGCAGAGACAATTGGGTATCAGATGGGAACGTTGATCTACCAAAAAAGAAGAGCATCAGGAATAGAATAAAGTTAAATTATTTAAAAAAAAACAAAACCTGTAATTGCATATTCTAAAAGGTAATTGAATATTTACAGCAAAAAAATAGCAATGCCCTGTGTGTTTATATTATATATAAATGTAAACAGTAAGTGAGCAATAGTGCAAAGAAAGGAATTATGATTAGACTAAATTATGATTAGACTATGTGTTTTAAAGCACACATAAAACAATAATATCTTTGAAGATAGACAGCTAAATGTTTTAAAGTCAATAGAAAAAAAAATCAAATATAAACTGCTTAAGTATGACATAAAAGAGAAAGTAAAAACTGGAACAAACAGAAAACAGTAAGCTGGTAAATTTCAATCTAAACACATGAAAAACAACATTAAGGGGAATGATCTAACACATGAATTAAAAGAGAGAGATTCCCAGACTGGATAAAAAAGCAAGTACCAAGTATATACTATATGTATTAAATAAACTTTAAATATAATGACATAAACGGACTGATAATAAAATATAAAGAAACATGTACCTTAAATCATTAACTAAAATATAGTTCGAAAACTATATTAATATCAAAGTAGATTTCAAAACAAGAAATGTGGATAAACAGCAAATCCACAGTTACAGTTGAAGACTTCAAAACTCTACTTTTATTAACTTATGGAAACAAGTATATAGAAAGTAAGAAAATAAAAGACCTGAAAAACATTACTAACAAACCTAGAGCTAATTGACATTTATAATGTTCCACCTAACAAAAACAGAATATATTTTTCTTATAAGTGTATATGAAACAGTCACCAATATATGCCATATTATGACTTACAAAACAAAGTTCAACAAATTTAAATATATAGAAGCCATACCAAATACGTTTTTGGATGAAAACAGAATTTAACTATAAATCAATAAAACAATTAAATAATATGTGAAAATCCTCAAATATTTTATATTTAAGTAATATATTTACATATAACCCAGGGTCAAAGAGAAGGTCTCAAGGAAAAGCTACAGCTATTTTGGAAGAAAAATCTAACATTCAAAATTTCTGAGATGTAGTTAAAGTAGTAGTGAGAAATGTATCCTATTAAATATTTAGTAAAGGGTTTATTCTTCATGAGGTGAGACAGAAGGAGAAAAATATTGGATGGTTTCACTTATGTGTGGAATCTAGAGAATCTAAACAAAGGATCAGATCAAGACAAATTTTAAGAGAGACCCTTGAAAGCAAATCATAGTTTTGAGCTACTCAGGAGAGGTGGGGGTAGGGAAGAAAGAGGGGAAGAGCAGAGAACAGGGGGAGGGCAGTGAGGGAGGCCTGTGATTACTTGGTGGTGGGAACGCCATGGTGACCACAGCTAAGGGGAAAAATCCTATGTTGTGAAAAATAGCCAAGGGTGTTTAAAAACAAAAACAACACAAGTTTTTGGGAACTGAAAAAAAAGAGCAAAGATCGCAAACAAATGAGTTCTCATGTTTAAGAAATTTGGAAAATAAACTCAAAGCAAGGAGTGGGAAGGAAATAACAAAGATGAGAACAATATAATGAAAATGACAAAAGAAAAACAGAAAGTCAATGGAATCTTGGGATGGAGG